CAACCAGCAGCCCAGGAATAAGCAGCCTCGAGAGAAGAAAGTAGCCAGTAATTTCTCAGCACTGCACAAGTACAAAGTGGCCTTTCTCTCATTACATCATAATTATTGTGGAACAAATTAACATTGTGGCTTTGACCGCCCTTGTGGGAAAAATGGGAACTATGAGTAAGAACAGAATGAACACTGGCTGTCCAGACTTCTTTGACTTCAATAAAAACAGCAGTTGCTCAGGGTTCCGTGCAATTGTGCTCTTGGAGCCTGCCCATCCTCTCTTGAGAACATAATTTCGCATCTGCACAAGCCTTTCCTGGGCCTATCTGCTATCACTCCATAAACTGGCCACTGTCACTTGGTTGTGTGCATGTCCTGAAATTCCTCTCTGTGACATTAGCGAGAACCTTTGTTACCAAAAGCTCGGCACTTGCCTCCAGGACTGCATCAGAAGAACAAGCACAAGTGGTTGGGGAAAGGGAAAGAGACTTACTAATTTGCCAGCAAATGGGGACAGTGGCAGACTCCCATCTCAAAGTACCAATTTCCCAATAATGAGCATAACTAGTGCGCTTTTCAAGGGAGGGCTTTCATTCTCAGGGCTGTTCACTGTTCATCAACTATAGGGATGATTCTGACCCTCCCACCTACAGTGCAGACAACCCTGTGACCTCTGCCCCATTCCCTCAGACCACTGCCAAGGCCTCCCCTCAACAGGGATAGTCTGGCTGAGCCACCTCCTGTAGCACAGAGAACAAAGGACCCTCCTACCACTGGCCTGAGGCAGAGATGTAGGTTTTAGCTCTCCATAAGGAGCCAGAAAATTTTAACGAGGCAGAAAACATTTTCCCCCCTTTTCAGGCCATCCTCTTTGTTACACCTTTACACCAGTGACACAAGCAAAGAATTCTTTCCTTTGTGTTGAATCATTTTGTTAACCTTTTTTCCTCTAAGTCTTATAAAATAAAGGAAATTGACCAAGAAAGATATTTAAAGCTATAACATTCTGTTATATTGATAATTACAGAAATATATCTGGAAAAAAATAAGAAAGAAAACATTTTTAGGCAAATTTTTATTTAGCTGTAAATCTAATAGTCATATTTCAGGGTTTTCATATGATTTCTTGCATTTTTCCAGTTGCTTCTGGCACAGTGATAGTCGACATGAGATGCAGTGTGCAAGGCACCGTGTCTGACGGGAGGACAGCTGCACGTGTAACTAAGGGGCCAACGACAGCTCAACACCTCCAGACTCTTGCTGAGGGCCAGCTGACATATCAGTGTTCCCGCTGATGGCCCTGCCATGGAGTGAGCTGGGTGTCATGATGCGCCAGGTGTACACGTACGGGATCAGGCACCCGAGGGTGGCCAACTGCCCACGTCCCCTGGGACTCACACTTAGGTGTTCTCACTCTCAAGCCTGAGGCCTCGATCCAGAGCACACCCAGAATGTACTAGGTACTGGTGACCATAATACTAATATGGTGATGGTGATAGTAACTAACAGGTATCAAGAACTGTGAGCCAGGACAGAGCCCCACTTATGTGAACATGTGTAACGCTCAGGCAAAGGAAGGAACTGAAGGACCAACAGGGGAAGTGACTTGCCGAGGCGGTAGGCAGCGGAGCCGGTTTGAAACCCAGGTCATTGTGCTTGCAAACACAGACAGCAGCCGCTCTGGTGACGATGGTGGGGACAGCAAAAGACCTGCCAAATGCAGACAATACTTAATGGCAAAAAAAATCCCCCAAAACAGTGAAGTCACCATCAGTCCTTCAAAGATACTCATAATGTCACAGTATTGTCATTTGTGTGTTTAAAATTATTTTAATGATACTTGCTGTTTTAAAGAATACAAGAACATGTAGTATTATTTTAGGACAATGTCATTTCATTAACTGGCCACAGGTGGGAGAAGGATGTCACGGTGGCCCCATACTAACACCTACTGGATGTCAAGATGGAATCTGAAAATAATAACACTTGGGACTTTTTATATTTATAGGTGTCTTTTTTCTGTAAAGACAGAGAAGCAAGACAAGGGAAGAAGGGTAGAAGTATAATCTGCGATGCGGCTGCACATGCCTGAGACATAAACTGTAAAGTGAGAGGGACACCTGGTGAGAGCTGCCCAGAGGCCAGGACGAGTGCCAGGTTGGCTGGTGATGGAGGCAGAGCCCCACCGCCTGCAGCAGCGACAGCCACAGACTCAGAAAATGCCTGTGCTGAGCAGCCCCTCCCCATTCCTGACATGCAATCAACTCTAAGCAAGACAGCAAACTGGGTATGCAGAGGTTGGGTGGTGTGCCCGAGGGACACAGCCCAGAAATAAGAAGGCCAAGATTCAAGCTCCAATTGATTTAACTCCAAGCATATGACCTTCACATCATGAAATTGCCTTTGAAATTGGGAGAGGGGTGGAAATAATTAAAAACCAATTAAATGTTAATAGGCAAGTCTTATAAAAACCAAATCATTCAGGAGCTGAACAATCCGTTATGAGGCATACACAGAGATAGGAGACTGAGTATTTTAGTGAAATCTTCTGGAACATAGAGCAGATTCACTGAGTACAACCAGGCATGCTCCAGGCAGGGACACATTCTACACTGAGAGGGAACTCAGCAGTCACCAGAGAAGCCATGACAAAGCCCAGACTACAGGGAGGATGTTTTAGGGGGTGGGGTCATCTTTAACTTCTGAACATAAATAATTAGCATTTTGAAGTGACAGGATGTCACCTTATGATACTAAACAATGCTGTGTTATATAAGAAGCTCCACGCTAGCAAGAATTCTGGTTGTACTACATCTAATTGCCCAAAGAGATCAATTCATTGAAACAGGTATTAAACATCTGCATGCTGCAAATTATATGCGTTGGAAGTGCATAAATGAATATGGCATGTTTTCTTCACACAGGGCTGATAAGTGTGTATAGGTAATGATAGTAGCTGCTGTTGCCAGCATTTTGTCATTGCTGCCATCACGCTTAATTGTATTGTAGTTAACATATCAAGTGCTCACTATTTGCTGGGCACCATGCTGACTGAACACATACCATGTATTATCTAATAAATATGCTATGTTAAATTCATAAATTCGATGCCCAGGGCAATGCGGGGGTCCTAAGACTGCCCTACAATCCAATCTCTATCTAGGTCATTCACTTACCTGCTCTCCAAGATGATTCTTTTAATGACTTTTAACAGGACTTCCTGACTTCCCATAGAATCTCTCCTTGATGCTACTGGTGCTCAGAAAGGAGAAGCCATCAAAGGAGCCCGCTGGCGCCACATGTGCTCTGACTCACCTCCTGCTGCAGTCAGTGGACTGGCCATACGCACACAAAATGTCCACCTCTGCACTTCTACATTAGTTTCCATGCTTTCTCTCACTCTCAAGGGCCATCTTTCTGGAAGTTTCCTTCATTTCTCATTCATCACCAATTTTCTCTTTGTACTGAATTATTCCTTTGTCTTAATATCAAATAACTACAGCAACATCAACAACACTTTTATTTCACATGGCCTTCTAGCTATGTTCAGTTTCTTTGCTCTTCTTCACACACACAAAAAAAACCCCTAAAACTTTATACTCAATTCATCTTGTCTACTTCCTCTCCCTTTATTTTATCATGCATCCTCTCCAAGTTCGTCTCCACTGAACTTGGTCACTAGTCACTAAGTGGTCACTAGTCACTGGTCACTAAGGTCACAAGTGATCTCCATTTTGCCAAATACAATAGTCAAGTCTCACTTTTAGCTGCACTTGTAGTTGAATATACCCTGTCTTCTAACACTTTCTTCACCTGTGTCTCAAATATTATTTCTTCTTACCTCTTCATACCCTATTTCTTTTCTCATTTACTTCCCATTTGACCCCAATTGCCTCCTGTCTCAGTCACAAACCCTTTCTCCTAAGCAAATGATCTAAAATAACCTTACGTCTTTACATGTTTTGTACTCTGAAAACTGCTAAATTTATACCTTAAGTTCAGAACTCTAATCTGAATTCCATTTGAGTTGGCATATGGCTGAAATATCTAATAGGCATTTAAAAATTATTTCAATAACAACTGAATTATTGATTTCTCCTACCTCCCACTGTAGCAGTTCTCCAAATCTCAGTGAGTAAACATTTCACTTGCCATTCACTTAAGCCCAAACCAACGAGTGACCCTTCATTCCGCATTTGTCTCCACCATACATCAAGTTCATGGGCTAAAACTCCACCTAATCCAGTATTTTGTTTTCATCTTTGAAACCTTCTGAGTTGTATTCTTGTATCCATGTTTGCTTCTATGTCTATACTTTACACTATAGACATAGTGATTCTTTTTAAAATGTATAACTCATCATGTTACAACTCTATGGAAAAATTTTCAAGGACTTCTCATCTCACTCAGCCAAATTCAAAGTACTTCCAAGTACTGTTGTCAAATTACACAGAACTGTGAAATATGAAGTTTCTGGCCATGGAAACTACCAATGCTATTATTACACTCTTACACTCTCAAGTAATGTGACACAGTAGAGTTCCTTGATGCTAAATATTAGAATCTGTTCCCTTTGAGTAGCCCAGACATCCATGTATTCATACTCAGTTCTGTTCAGTTCATCCACTACTTACTGTGGTTTAGGATACAGCTGCTATACTCAGCACAAGAGATTCAAAGGTGATCATAGAACTTATAGTCATCTATCAGTGTTAATCTCTTAATAAAAAACAAGATTAAATTGTGTAATTTATCTTTTTTTCACTTGTAGATTGTTATTCTTTTACTTTACTGCTACAAAAATAATCAGAATTTTTTACTACAAAAATTTGATAGCTTTTGTAGGGTTTTTTGTTTTGTGTTTAACCATGAATAAATTGTAAAGGAAACCTGGTTCAGAGTGAAAGGTTACTGCGAACTCTAATATTTGCTTTTCTCCCCTATAGACGAGAACCAAGACCAGATAAATTCTTTAGCTTATTAATAAACTATTTTGGATACTTAACAAAAAGGTCTCTGTATAACAGTGAAACATCTTCCTCTTCCCCCTTAGGAGCAGGAATCCAGACAGGATGAACTAAAAAATTGTCAATAGTATTATTAGTATACTTTGATAGACCAAATAATCTCTAGTGAAACAGCACACGAGGAGGTTCTTAGAGCTTTAATCTCTCATAGCATTGACCCTCTAAGCATCACTCGTTGCTGCTTTCTGAGCAGATGAGCAACACGCAAATATCTTTTTAAATGCCCCTGTGACATCCTTGTTTCGGAGGCTATAGATCAGAGGATTCAGCATGGGTGTGACGATGGTGTAGAAGGCTGACACTACCTTGTCCTGCTCAGGGGTGTGGAATGACTGGGGCAGCACATATGTGTAGAAGGCAGCCCCGTAGAAAATGCTGACCACAGTCAAGTGGGAGGAGCAAGTGGTGAAGGCCTTTTTTCGGCCTTCAGCCGAGCGCATGCGGTGGACGGTCAACAAGATGAGGGAGTAAGAGGCGGAGATGATGGCGATGGGGATGAGTAGCATGAGCACACAGCAGATGTACATCAGGGCTTCATACAGGGACGTGTCGGCGCAGGCCAGTTTGAGGACCGCAGGGATCTCACAGAAAAAATGGTTGATGCTGCGGGAGCCACAGTAGGGGACATTCATGGTGATGGGGGTGAGCAGAAAGCCATCCAGGGAGCCACCAAACCAGGCGCCAGCAGCCAGCAAAAGACACACCTTGCGGTTCATCAGGACTGGGTACCTCAGAGGGTTGCAGACGGCCACGTAGCGGTCGTAGGCCATGAGGCCCAGCAGGAAGAACTCTGAACCAATCATGGTCAAGTAGAGGAAGATCTGGATGCCACACGCCACAAAGGAAATGGTTTTCTCCTTAGAAACCATGTCCACCAGGAGTTTGGGGACAGTGGTACAAATGAAAAGGGTGTCCATGATGGACAGCTGGCTGAGAAGAAAGTACATGGGGGTGTGGAGGCGGGAGTCCACCTGGATCAAGAATATCATGACCAAATTTGCGGTTACAGCCACCACAAAAATAGCAAAGATAACTGTAAATACAATCCCTGTAGCCTCACTGTTCACCCGAAGCCCCAGGAGGATAAAGTCAGAAGATGAAGTCGTGTTCTGCATTAATACTGCCTCTGCCAGCTCCAGGGAGCAAGAAGACACAAAGACCAAAATAACACATTCGAGGTGGGAAAGGTCTGCAGTGGAGATGACACATCCAAGGGCACTGGCTGGGCTGAGATTTTCCTGGGTAGAATGCTAGGGAAGAACAAAGAGATCAACACACACATCAGAAAGCAGTAATTTTGGCTCTGTTTCTCCTTGTGGAAGAATAGCCCTTTTCGTGTTGTGTCTATGTCCTTGCAGCTATAGGTTATGCTAACTGCATAATAAAATTGATGGAGTACAGTTTTGACCATATCTGCTCTGTTCATTCTGCATTTCTTACATCCAGAAAGTTTTCCCACCCATAGTTGTGCTAAGGAAATACTGGTTGGAGAAAAGAGTGAGTGACTGATTCATTGATTTACTGAATGGCTAAGAGTGAGTGAAATGAATAACTGAGGATGTGAAGGGTTTGGACAGCTGTTGAGCCTTCTTGAATGAAATGTCCCGTCTTTTCATTCTTCTTCATTGTTGCTGGCACCTAAAGTTGGTCCTCCTCACTGCTGCTTGCGTGGTTTTGTTAACCTCTTGGCAGGTCTTTCTTCAAATCGCTTCTTTACTCTCTTATTTTCAAACAGCTTTCAGAATTAAATTCTTAAAAAGCAGTATATGCCACTAAATTGATCCCCTGCACTGCTCCCCACTGCTACTGTGGATCTGGGAAATGGACCAGGGAGGTTAAAAACAAAATGTTGGAAGCTTGAAACTATGTTACCAAGAGACATGCAGGAACAAGAAGTTAACGGAGCCACATGTCTGCTGGTGTTTACCTACACTGAGGCCACAGGTCAACTCAGGATCAGGACGCCCTGGAGCAGATATATAGGAAGGTAACAGCAACAGGCCACAGTTCAAGAAGGGATTTTCATCTCTGTAATATGGATTAAAGATTTCAATATTAAAAAAGGAAAATAAAAAGAACCATACATGTAGTAAAGTGCCCCAATGTTACCCCTTTAGTGAGTCAAAAATCAAACATGTGTATGTAAGAGCAAGAGTCCAGTTGGGCTCCTAGGTGCACACTGCAAGCCAATTTATTTTGTCTACTCACAGGCTGCCAGACAGCCTTGGTCCCATGGTCTAGGGTTGCCACATTTAGCAAATAAAAATGCAGGATGCTTAGCTATATTTGACTTTCAGAGAGTCAAAAAATTTGTTTTGTATAAGTTTGTAATATACTTACACTAAAAAAATTCCACTATTTATCTGAAATTCAAATTTAGCTAATGGTCCTTTATCATGCTGAAGTCACACCTGGTTTCACAAAGGTACTGTTACACAAAGGTACAAGTTTACCAATTCCAATTTATTTTGGAAATTGCCTCTCCCTTGCTTTGCTCCTTGCTACACATGTAACTAAGTATCTGTTTGCTTGAGAATTCCAAAGGCTAATCTTGAAGCAATCCAGGCATGGAACAGACATAGTGGGTACAATTCTCTCTCTTCTGAGAAGTTAATGCACAGTTAATCCCTAACTAGACCCCCACCAAGATGACACCAACCAGGCTTCCAAGTGGTGCTTTACTCAAGATAAGCACTGGAAGACAAACAACAGACCTATACCCTGCACCACTCCTGTCCATAGTTTCCATACCACCTTCCCCTTTCAACCCCCTTCAACCAGCCTAAGAAATTGAGGTGATTCTTTTGGATTTGAGTCTGGCCATGTTCTCAAGCTGCTGGCACTTGAGTCTGGCTTTTTAGGCAGCAGAATATGGTTTTGGTTACAGTACAAGAATTCTAATGACAGTGAAAAGTGACCAATAGAATCAGTAAAACATAATCAATAGAGTCTAATACAAAGGAGTTACATTCTAACATCAAAATTAAATTGGACCATTGCAACTTTCCCTTTGATGGACATGTTCAATTTACCCTGGATGTAGTTCAACACTATTGCCTCATTTGTCCAGCCTCCCCAAAATACTCTGTGATCAAAACTTTAAAGGTTTATGTCCGTGAGTCTTACCCTCCTGATCCATTCATTTAAGTTCCATTCCATTTCCCAAGGACAACTGAAAATAAACATTTTTTCAATATTGTTTAAAAATATAAGTTAGTTAATTCTAGGTCTGTTAATAGAAAAGAGATATTCTACTTAGACTCCAAAAACTTCCTAATAAAGCTAACCCACACTAAAGGGGTGAGAGTACATCTCTTCTTTTTGCAGGGAATGCAAACATTTTATTCAAAAAGTATAAAGTAGTTAAAAGAAAAATCTGTATTTCTCATTATACCCATGGCTAATAGCAGCCTGGCTTAATCTGCCATCATGCTTCACCGGGGTTATCCCAGGAAGGTCTCCCTTGTATCCCTTCAGTCTGGTCTCAGCACCGCAGTCAAGTGATCTTGGGAACCTGCATCACACCGTGGTGTCACTCTCTGCTCAAACCCCTGCGAGGGGGCTTCTGTCACACTTTAAGGCCCACAGGTTCTGAACGTCTGCGCTCCGCCATCATCTCCTGCCGCCTGCATGTTCCTGTGGGCGCTGCAGCCACAGGGCCTGCCGTCCCGCCGCCGCGCCCGCCCGCCGCGCCACCCGCCCGCCGCCACGCGCTGCCCTTGCCTGGGGCTCCTCCCACTGTGCCAGCATGTCCCCTCAGTCCTCCAGGGCTTTGCTCAAAAGCCACCTTCTCAGAGGGGCCTATTCTGGTCGGACTTAATGCCTTTTCTTCACATTTCTTAACACCATCTACATATTATATATTCAGTTTATTTTGTGTTTGTCTCTTGATGCCACAAAGTGAACTCCAGGTGAGCAAGAATTTTTGCCTATTTTGTTAACTGTGTGCTGCCTCTACCTAAAAGGATGACTGGCACATTGTAAATATTTGTTGAATAATTTTTAAACACATGTAGTTAGTAAAAATGCAAATTATATTTTTTGAGATGATACATTTCTTGAAAATACTTCCAAGTTTGTTTTATAAAATGTGTTAAAGGGAAATAATTTTCTTAAATGCCAGGCCTTTGTATTATATTTACCTCTGAGGATTGAACTCTAATTTTTTGCTAAAAACTCCTTCCTAAGGAGGCCAGCTGGGTTAGGCTGGCAAATGGCAAGGAGGCCAGCAGGGTTAGGTTGACAAATGGTAAATTCCCACTAAGCGGCTTTTGTTAACCAAACGAAGCAGTGGTTTACTTCCTGACCTGATTCTGGTATGGCATTAACATCACCTAAAAGATAAGAAGCCCCTGTCTTAACTCAAACATCCTAGCAGGCACCTATTGTAAATTTAAAATGTCCTCCTGTCTGGACCTCCCAGAGTGCTCATACCCTTATCTTAAAGTAAACATATCCTTTCTGGTCTTCTAGATAAAGTCTAACTCTCTCAGCCAATTGCCAGCCAAAGAATCTTTAAGCCCACCTATATAACCTGTAAGCCCCTGCTTGGAGATGTCCCACGTTTTTGGGCCAAACCAATGTATGCCTCTCATGTATTGATTTGTGACTTTGCCTGTAACCCCTGTCTCTCTGAAAATGTATAAAACTGAACTGTAACCCAGCCACAGCTAGTCCACTTGCCCAAGGCCTCTTGGCAGTGGCTCCGGGTCATGGTCCTCAAATTTGGCTCAGAATAAATCTCTTTAAAATTATTTTACAGAGTTTGGCTTTTTTCCGTCGACACCTCCATCTAAAATACCATTGCCATAAAATGGGATCCATCCATATTTTTTAAAAACAAACTTTGTTCTAGGAAACAAAAATAAATCACAACTTTCAAAGATCAAAGAGCAAAATATAAATTTTACTTCTAATTCACTGAGGTTTATATATAGTATACAGATTTGAGACAATTACTTCCTGTGGCTTAAAATCAATGGACTTAGTTATAGAGTAACTAATATGTTAGCAAAATTTTCGGCAAAAAAGGACTCACCACTTCGTTTGTCTTCTGAATCTGCTGTGATAGCTCTTCACTCAGTTTAGGTCCCAATTCTTTTGTGAAAGATAACTTTAGCTTCAAATGTTATTATATATCCAGAGGTTGTGCTATAGATGTTAGTAATATAATTTGAATTCACCCTATGTAAAAGATAGAGACAGAAAATCATTATGCATGAATTATTTCAGCAGCAAGATAACGTCGACACACATATATCTTGTTCTCCACCTAAATTTCAGTCAATGTGGAAGAAGGTATCTTTCTGTTTCCACACTTGAGTGAATGCCTTCCTATGTGACTTACCTCCTGTTTGCTTCAAAGAATATCCATGAAGAATCTAGCAAAAGCCAATGACATTTCTTTACATAAGCCACAATTTAAAAATACTTAATAGAAATCACTTAAGAATCAGTGGAGTTGAAAAAAATTAAATAAATTTAATAAATTTAAATTTATTTTGGCTTCCAGATTTACCCTTAACATGCAATTCTATATGAGCTTCTAAGTCACCTAATTTTGTTGAACTTTAGTTTCCACTGCAACTCTTCAAACCTGAGATGCAGGAAAAAATTTTAAAATGACTTAAAAAAATTCAAATTTGTACCTCATAGCACTAAGCCTTTAAAAATGAAATGGCTTTCATGCATTCACTACACAAATATTTATTGAGAGCATATTTCATATGAGGAAAATTTCTAGGTGAGTGGGATGCATCATAAAACAAAATAAAGACCCCTGTTTTTTGCTTATGTGATGAATAAAATTTAATAAAATCAAATAAACTAAAAGGGCTGACCAAAGAAAAAAATAAAGCAATGTGAGATAATCATAGTTGAAGCTACAGGTATTTATTTCTTACTTTTATATTCTTAGCTAGTTGTACAACCCAAAGGTAACATAGTCAAAACAAAACCTTCAATATTTTCTTAGCTGTTGAGTCTCTGGGATTTAAAAGAAAGAATACAGTGGAATGTTTGATAAATGTGTGGCATGACCATGGTAGTCATTCAGGTTTAAGAAGATTATCTCAACAAATTTCCAACTAAAATAAATAAATTAATAAAAATACATCTTGTTTTAGCTTATTATTTATGTGTGAACCAGTCTATTGTTTTAGCTAAATAACCTATCAATGCCATGGAATTATTAATTATAACAATTGTCTTGCTTCATGCATATAATTTCCTGTTAGAGTCAAGATCTGACATTTCAAGCATTTTGTTTTCACGTGGTTGTCAGACCTCTTAGCAGAGCCCCACTTCATTTAAAGTCAGTCACCTGACGTGACAGGGAGGCGCCGTTGCTTTCTGGGCGGCGGGAGGTCTACATTGTTTGTGCGTGCTAAGTAACTGTCCACGTATGTTCAGTGTCTCTGATCACTCTTTCTTGTCTGCAATCTTCCTGGGTGTTTAATAAAGCAGCTAATAAAATATTTACTAAGTGGACATTATACCTTCCACTATTACAACTTTATATTTTTAAATGTACATATTTATTTATTGTATAAATAAAACAAATATGTAGAGGCAAGAGTTCAGTTCATTTCATATCCCTGTTCCTCACCTGCAGAATGACCCCGTGGGGGTGTAGCTACTCCTCAACATGGGTCGTCAGGTCCTTGGCAGACCAGCCTAGCTGGCATCCAATGGAAAACGAACGTGGGTTTTATCAGCATGTTGCTCCCCAGGGAAACTTTGTCCTCAGGCCATTATTAAAATTAACAAGCTGGCAGCTGGCATGTTGTGCCAGTTGCTTCTCTCCTTTGGAAATTTTTTATCTGTTAATAGCAAGCTTTGGCACCAAAATAGCAGGCCAGAAGTCAGAAGACATGGTTCTGAGACCCCATCTGCCTCCTGCTTGAATGAGGCAATATGGTGAACATCAGCTACTGCATCTCCTGCGGAGCTAATTCTTTCCCTAAGCCCTTCATAAGACTTTGTGAGGGTCAGAATCCACATTGGATAACGTGGCTGAATATGTTTTAGCACATTAACTGTCGCGAGAGTTGTATTTAACTCACTCTGGTTTTGACCCCAGGGCCACATGAAGCATATATAAAATCTTACTTGTTGATGTACTTGTTGTTACAATTAATATTGACAATTTAATTCTAAAAACATGGATTAAATGATTATAAGTCAATAAATTTCATTTTTCTGTTTATGTTTCCCTTTAAATTACACGTGAAGTTTTTATTCTATTTTAGTGATAAAACACTATGGCCCCAAGGAAAAGTTTCTGCTTTTTCTGCGTGGGGGCAGTTTTCTTTTTATTTTTCACCCATCATCTGGAGCAGCACATGCCATATTTCAAGTTTACAACTTAGAATATTAAAAACAATCTTAGGTTATTATAATTTATAATTTTCACTCCCGATAGTATATTATTTTTAATAAAGAAAATCTGGTGACTACAAATTATCTCTTATAAGAATGTGCTGGCTGGGCACGGTGGCTCACACCTGTAATCCTAGCAGTTTGGGAGGCTGAGTTGGGAGACTTGAGTAAGTTCAGGAGTTCAAGACCAGCCTGGGCAAGAACAAGACCCAGTCTCTACAAAAAACAATTAGCCAGGAGTGGTGGTGTGTGCCTGTAATGCCAGCTCCTTGGGAGGCTGAGGCAGGAGGATCACTTGAGCCCAGGAGTTTGAGGCTGCAGGGAGCTATGATGATGCCACTACACTCTAGCTCTGGCAACAGAAAGTGACCCTATCTCAAAAAAATAAAAAAATTGCTGGTGGTTCACATCTGTAATCCTAGCACTTTGGGAGGCCAAGGCAGGATGATCACTTGAGGCTAAGAGTTCGAGATCAGCATCTGCAACAGAGTCTCTACAAACTTTTTTTTTCTTTAAACTAGCCAAGTACAGTGGCGCATGCCTGCAGTCCCAGCAACTCAGGATGCTGAGGTGGGAAGACAGCTTGAGCCCAGGAGTTTGGGGCTGTAGGGAGCTATGATTGGGAGAGCCCATCTCAAATTTAAAAAACAACAACAACAACAAAAACAAGAATTTGCTGGAATGACTGAAGAGAGGACTGGAGAGAAATCCCTGGTCATTCCTTTTTATGGTGGGACTAGTCTAACGTGTGAAGGAAGTAGGTACCCACCATGTATATGATGACATTTAAACATTTTTTTAAAACTGTATTAAAGTAGAGCATAACAACAGAAAAATGCACATGTAAGTGGGAAGATTACTAAATCATCATGAAGTGAACACCTACATGTAGCCACCACTGAGTTTGTTGAATAGATTCTTAAAAACATCAAATAAGTCCTCTTCCCCAATGACCCAGTCACAAATGCCCATGATTTCTCCAGGAACTTGTCTAAATATACTTCCCTTACTTGTTATTTTTCAGGTACTAAATACCAATCAATGTGTGAGTTAAATGCCACTACTAAATGTGCAAAGGATCAGCCTTGGAATGCAAGAACAGCAGTGCTGTCAGGTGTTAATGTGCAGCAACTGAGGAAGGGAGAGGAAACATGTCATGGAGAGAGCAAAGGTGCATGGTATGAATGGAAGTGATTTTGTGAGGAAGGAAGGTCGGGAGGTGTCAGCTAAGGCAGGAGGAAGGACAGGGCTAGACATACAAAGAGAGGAAAGGAGATGGGACTGAACT